GTTCGCTCCTCCTCTACTCCTACCCCTAGTACATTGAGCTGGAACCACTCAGCAGCTTTGGGATGCTCCACGACGCCGTCAGACCCGAATTGTGCTTTGAAGGCGTCAACTGCTGCAAAGGTATCCTCAGTGATATTGGCGGGACGTAAGAGTTGGCCAAAAGTCAGTTTTTCCTCTTGCGGAGGCTGCAAATCGGGTTGATGAGATAGTGCGTCAGGTTGTACCGCGTGTCGTCCTGGTCGAAATTTGATGACAAAATAGAAACAGCCTAGTGTTTCCGCCCACCGTGCCTGCCTCCTTGTAAGCTGCTTGGTAGTCATAAAACTCTCCAAGTTTTTATGATTGGTGTACACAATCACGTCCAACCTATGCGGGTTACCCTCAAGATACTGGCGCCATTCCTTAAAAGAAGCCACCAGCGCCAACAATTCCTTGTCAAAGATTTCGTAATTCCGCTCTGCTGGGATTAAGGAACGTGAAAGGTAAGCTACCGGGTGAAGCTCTTTGTCCTCGCCCTTCTGCGACAATACGGCCCCCAACGCAAAATCCGAGCAATCGCACTCGAGTACAAATGGTTGGTACGGGTCGGCAATCTTGAGGACGGGTGCAGTTGTAAAAGCTGATTTCAAGGATTCAAATGCCTTTTGTCGTTCTTTGTTCCAAGCGAAACTAGTGTCCTTACGTGTCAAATCGTGTAACGGCCTGGCCATTTTGGAGAACTGGCCAATAAATCGTTGATAAAAATTGGAGAATCCGATGAACCGGAATACTTCAGACGTATTTTTCGGCGTAGGCCAATCTGTTACCGCCTTGACCTTGGCGGGGTCCATTCGAACCTTGTTTTCGGAGATGATAAGGCCAAGGTATTCAACTTCTGAGCGTGAAAACTCACATTTCTCCGGTTTTAACCAGAGAGAATGCTTGCTCAATATCTTGAGTACACTCTCGACCACTTGTTCATGATTGACACCGTCTTTAGTATGAATCATAATGTCATCAATGAAAGCTTCGACGTCTTTCCCTATTCTTCCGAGAAATATGTCTTGAATAAAATACTGGAACCATCCCACGGCTCCTGTAGGTCCAAATGGCATCGTAAGGGGTGCGAACTGGCCAGTTCTGCAAATAAATGCCAACTTATCCTCATCCTCCTCCGCCACTCGAATGTTCCCATAAGCATTTCGTAGGTCTAGCTTGGTAAATCTTTTTAAGTTAAGCAGACTGTCAATTAAGTCCATTGTGAGAGGCAGAGGGTACCTATTTTTCACGGTAAGAGTGTTAAGTCTTCGGTAGTCGAAGCACAGTCGTAGGTTACCGTCTTTCTTTCCTGTGAATAGTACCGGAGCCGCCCAAGGAGATTTGGTACGACGAATAGTTCCATTTGCGAGACCTTCATTCACCATTTGATCAAGAACTTCATTTTCGGCCGGTGATAAGGGTATGATTTTACCTGCTTGCCGTGTGGCACCAGGTACCAATTCGACCCTAAAGTCGTACTTCCTTCTTGGAGGGAGTCCCTGAGCTTTAGATTTTGAAAACATATTGATGTATTTATGGTACCTTGTTGGTACAAGTTCCTTAGCAGTTTTCTGATTGACGTCCTTGTGTCCTTCTGCGGCTATCCTGGCTGACGTTGACCATGAAGTTTTGGCCGTGCTGAGTTTGGGTGAGTTTCCTTGTGATCTATTTTGGAGAGAATCAAACTCGCCAGCTGTTTCAGGGGTAACATGAAGCTTTTCAGGATCACACTCACATTGCGGGGGTATTAGTGTACTTTTGCTGACATCAGCGCTAGTACATACCCCCTCTTCACATTGCCTAGCTTCCCTCTTTTCCTCTTTCGGTCTTGAGGGTGGTGTCGGTATGGAAGAGACTGACGTGTCAGTCGCAATTGGAGCCGTCTCTAGATCCTCAGCCGTCATCGTTCGAGGTCCGTTGTGTAAGTGCAACTGTTCTAGGAAATGTAAAGGATTGCCAGCTGCTTCTTGACTAGGGACACGAGGATCAAAAAATGACTCACATTGCAGGGGTATTAATGTACTTTTGCTGACATCAGCGCTGGTACATACCCCCTCGCTACTATTTCTAGCTTCCCCTGCAGGCTCCAAGGGTGTTGTTGGTAGCAGCGAAACCGCATCAGCGGTCGCAATGTCTGAGATTGGGTGTGGATGATAAGTTGATGTTGTCCAATTGATTTTGTTCCCATGTTGTCGGAACCATGGCATGCCTAATAGTACGTCGTATGAGTTCTTCAGTTGGGTCACGATGAATCTTGTGGGTGTTGTGTCGTCGTTAATAATGATGTGGGCTTCCTCGGTAAGTTGCCTTGTTTGACCGTCGAAAGCGCTGACTGTGCATGGGTTGATCATCTTGATCGTATGAATCTTATGTTTCTTGATGAATTCTTCGCTAATAGCCTCATGTGTGGCTCCGCAATCAAGAAGGCAAAGGGCTTCTGGGGGTTTTGATGTGGCACGGGATGGAGAATGGGTTTGGGACAAAGGTAACCTCATGAAATAGCAAGGATTTCTTGCATTACGGTTCAAATAAGCAACAGCCCCTACTCCAATTAACTCCTCCTCTTTGCTCGAGATAGGCACATCTATCAATCTCGAGCGCCACCATTTTTTGATTCATCAGCTCTCCCCTTCCCTTTCAGTTCTGCTAATTCAGCCTCTAATTCAGCTATTCTTGAATTTCCACCACTACTCCTAATCCAATTGCCTTTCTCATCCTTTCTCCCACAATCAGCTGCTCGATGTCTCCCCTTCCCACACTTAAAACATAAACCTCTCTCACTACGTCTTGCCATTTCCTCTCTTGAGACGGAGAATCTAGCACTTTAAAGATCCATCACATCAGGGTCTCGAGTGGTTGTGGGTACAGAGGCGGTGGTGCGAGTGATTGTTCGATTGGTGCCTGGGTGGAGCTCGTTATCAATCGCGAGCGGGAAAGCCGTGATTTCCGGAAGAGAGTCAAAAGTTCGTAAGATCATATTAACCCGTACCTCCTGCTTTAATCCAATCTTGTAATGGCTAATGTGCTCCATTTCACCCCACCCAGCTCTTGCTGCCAGTGCCATAAACTTTGTAGTATACTCAGCTACTGATCCCGTTTGCTGTAACGCTCTAATATCGCGCTGAGATCGGTTCTTTCTGTCTGAATCAAAGTACGTAGCTTCAAACGTGGCGGCGAAAGCTTCCCAAGTGAGTGGTTCTTCGTCCTCAGGTCTTAACAATCGCTTGTAGAACGGGGCTGCCCACTGATTAGCTTTGCCAGTGAGATACGACAAAGTGAAAATGACTTTGGTTTTGTTGTCGGGGAACGCTTGAGGGTTGGCAAGAAGGTACAGTCCGACCTGATTAACGAAAGCTTCGGCCGGGTCACCCTTAGTTCCATCAAACTTATCGGGAGTGCCAACTTTTGGGCCGCGAGTCATCCCTACGAGTGACTTCAGGTCCTCAACCGTGAGTGGCCCACTGACGCTGCTTCCCATAGCTACTTTGGGAGTAGCAGTCTGCTGCTGGGTAGGGGGGTTAGGGTGCGATTGTGAATGAGGTGCGCTACTCAATTGACGTTGAAGCGTAGCCAATTCCTCTTGTGTTGCCTTTCGCTGAGCTGTCTCCTCTTCCAGTTTAGTGTTTAAATTGGTGAGCTGTTGGAGTATG